ACGGAGCATCCCAGTACCAGCCAGAGGGGATGGGTGGCCCAGGCTGGGGTTTCTGGGGCTTTTAGAGTGGGAAAATCATCCCAGTGCCCCCCCATCCTCATGTCCCTTGAGCACCACTGAACAGCCAGTCCCCAGGGCTGGATTTGCTGCTCCATTTCACGATTTGGTGGCTTTGCAATGCCATGGGGTCAAAGAGCACCCTGCAGAGCTCATCTTATGCTGAGCAAAGTTTGCACAGGGTGAGGGGATTCAAGCAATGCTTGCAAAGAAAAACCGGTGTGCTGAAACCCCAGGCTGGGTACGACATGGGTCTGCTCTTGCTGCGCTTTTTCTCTGACCCCGGCACGCATTACATTGATTTTGGTCCCACTATGGAGTGCATCCATAGGGATGGGAATGGTCCAGCATGTCCTAGGGATGCCCTCTGCCTCTGCAGCCCTCGGGCCCCCTAACAAAGCATGACGGACGAGCTTCGCCTCTGCTCCCTGTACAGATAGAGGGAAAACCCACGGGCTGGGAGCCAGTTTCCCCAGACCGTTGGGGAGGGGAGAGCTGGGGCTGGAGAGATAACAGGAAGAGTCAGTGTCAGGGCTCGGCATGGGGGTTTGATGGTGGAGCACTTGGTGATGCCAGCTGTGGGGCTGCTGCTTTGCAATACAGGGCTACACAGGATGCTGGAGGCAGTTTTCCTTCCTTCTCCTGTGGAGATCTGCAGGGTGCTGGGTACCAGCACAGGGTGCTTTCCTGCAGCTCCACCTCCCATCAAGTGGGTGCCCTGAAAGGGCCTGAATAGCAGCTGTGAGTAATTGATGATGTGATTTGGGGAATTTTTTTCCTCCCCACTGCTTCCCAGTAAATCACTTGCAAATAGACGCTTTCCACTATCCAACCAGCTCTGCAGATGATGGTGTTGGAGCCATCAGATTAATTATTTGGGAGTTTTGGTTTTTCTTCTTGCTGACTACAGTGGATAATGATGCTGGGTGTTTCTTCTAACACCCCAGAGTCACCAGCTCCAGGGATGATGATTGAGCGTTGTGTGACATTTGGGTTTTCTTTGAGCCCTAGCTCCATGGGGGAAATTCAGCCTTCCAGCATGTACTTCATATTTGTAAAGGCAAATGAATAGGAGGCCTTCTGGAGGTGGAGGAAAGCCAGAATAAAGGGAGTGGCAGAGGCTCAAAAAATCTGATGGACAATAGAAAGTGGTTTAATATGCTGCATATTACAGGAGAAGAGGCAGGGTGTGAGATATGTGAATCTTTGGGCTGGAGCTACCCCCTTTCTCTTGGGCAAGTGTGAATCAGTAGTGAAGTACCCTTAAAAGCCACTTTTGGCCAAAAAACTCTACAGACTGATCATGTTTTGGGACTACCTCATCAAAACACAGCATTTTCCATCCTAGGATTCTAGAAAATGAGTTACACTGGCTGCTTGCTGACAGCACCATGCAAAGCATCCACAGAAGATGGATCCCCTCTGAGAGCCAGTGCGAGCAGCCAGTGCAAGCTACATTTGGGACCAGTTTGCCAAAAGATTTTGGAGAGGATGGGGGCAATGCTCCAGCATCCCTGGGGGTCCTGGGGCTGTTTGAAAGACTGATGGGGGTGGCAGCAGCTAAGAGGAACATGTTCCTGCACCTCTGTGCAATGTATCTGCCCTGTCCTTTACTAAACATGATCTATGCAGAGCAGCGTGATTTGTTGCTGCAAGGTGACATTAAGACTCCAAAGTGAGAATGAGGCTTCAAACCCATAAGCCAGACACACGTGATGCAGAGGAAGATCAGCAACAGGAGCAGGCTCCTGGGCATAGCTGTTGTGAGGCACTAAAGCACCAGGCAGGGAGCTGAAAAGACATTTTCAGCCCTGGAAATGAATCAACCTTCAGGAGAGTTTACCTGGGATTTTTCCAAATTGTCCATTAGATGGATTCAAGTATTCAGCTAACAACTCCCTCTGGCTAAAACAGGTGCCAAGACAGTGCTCTAGGACCCACCAGCCCTTTCAGGGAGGCACAGAGTTCAAGGACCTTTCTGGCCCTGGGAATGACTGCAGGGTGACATGGGGCACGTTGCCTCCTTTCTGGGCCAAGCCAGGAGTCAGACTCAGTGGACGTCACTCCCGGCAGCTAACATCAGAAGGACATAACCGCATGATAGAAAAAGGATAAAGGATAAACAATGACACAGGGATTAATGTCAACAGGAAACTAATGCCTGACACACGCCGAGTCAGGAGAGTCAGCGGTGTTATTTGTTATGAAGAGTGGATAGCAGAGGCAGAGGCTGGGAAACAAACCCTCAGCCTGAGGCTTCAAGAGCTTAATTGACCCCAGTTCCTGGAAAGAAGGTGAAGAGGGGACAGAGAAGAGCCCTGCAGCAGGGTTTGTATTGCAGCACAAGCTGAGCAGGCTCCAGTGCACCACGGCTGATGTTGGCCACATGCAGCATGGAAATGGGATGTAATTTTGTAGCTGTACAGCAATGAAACCTTGGTTTGACTTAGGTAGCTCGCTCTGGCTTCATGTCTCTGAGTGTAGCTCTCTCTTGCAAATTAGGGCTTATTCTAGCTGCAGCGATGTATTCTGTAACCTTTGGGCATGAAGGACCAAGCTGGATGATTGTCAGTCTCGAATTTTGGTCCCTGGCTTCATCACATGTGTACTTGGAGGAGAGAGCTGGAGGCCACCATGGGCCTCCTAAGGTTGATGGCCCCTGCATTTGTTCAGGATAGCTATCTTGGCACCAGCATTGCTTGCTGAGAGCACCCAGCTGCATTTCCACATAAAATCGCCTAAACTTCCCTTGGGGTAACTAGGAAGTTACCTCACATCACATCCTGAAGGTGTGAGGTCTTGAATCTATAGGCCTACAAATCCAAAGACACCACTCCAGCTACAAACCCACCCAGAAAAGGTGCTGAGGCTCCATTATGGATGGGCCCAAAGATGAGAAAAAACCTTGGGAATTCTTCTGACCTCATTCATCATTGTGTCCTGCTTAGATGATGGGCCTGGTGGAAGGCTACACATGAGCGAAGCAGCAGGATAGCATCAGCGGAGTTGTGTCCTAAGGGACACAAGCAAGTATTATTTTACTGCTGGGCAATGAGGTATCAGAGATACTAAATCATCTCTGCAAGATCACAAGAGGGAATTATTACAATCTAGAAAGACTAAACCTCCACATCTCAAGTGCCTCTTCAAGATCTTAATCACAAATACTATTCATTGTTTCATTACAATGACACTGAATAACTCTATTCATTTACCAGGTGATTGCCCATTTGTACAGCACAAATCAAGCCATGGTAGCTTCATTACTCTGCATATACATTCAGAAAAATAAAAAAGCAGGTCACATGGAGATTTCCAAAATGACAAAATCAGGGAAAAATGAATGTGGCCAGGAATAAACAAGTAAGCGGAATTTCCCAGCACATTTCCTTTGCCCGGGGCACAGCCTTCTTCTCTACTAGGAGGAAATGGTCATTTGTGAAAAGTGAAACTTGGCTATGTCCAAAAGACACTTAGAGGTGGAAGGGAATGGAGACACATAAGGAAAACTACCCAGGTGGTTTGAACCTCTCTCACCTGCTGTTATGTGGTGCTGGAGATGAGGGAGCAGGCAATAGGAGGTTTGTGCTGCTGTTCCATCGCTGCCCAAGTTTATTTCTAGTGGTGCATTTTTCCAAAGGGATCACATAATGCTCCAACTCCCTGGTCACTAAAGGGATGCAGGAGCTCAGAGTAAAACTCAGGGAGAAGTAAAGAGTTTGTAAACCCCATGTGAAGAGGAGCAGTACTGGTGGCAGTGGGCTGTAAGGGAGCACCCAGGCTGGGGGGTGTCAGAGAAACAAAAAGCACTGGGGGAAAAACAGGAGTCTGCATTTCTCCTTTTGGGGGGTTTCTTTTGAAACATCACCCTTGTTAAGGAAGAAGCTGCAGACAGGGAATATCAAGAACCAGAGGGGTGTTGGGGGCCGAGCAGGGGCTGCTCACCACCAGGTCGGGAGCACACTGCGCTCTCAACACTGGAGCACTTGAGGAAACTGAGCTTTTGTTTACACTGAGGCTTGGGGAATCTCTCTGTCTCTGTATATGGAGACAGGCTGGGTGCTCAGTCATGCTGCTTTTCCTGCTCCAGTCACCCAGACGCACAGGGCACATTTCCATGGATGGTCACCCTGGAAAGAGCCAGTCTGACCAGCTTGCCCGCAGCCCCAGAGCAGCCAAGCAGGGAAGCCAGCTGGTTCCAACAACTGCACACAACAGTTTAAAAACTGACAAAAAGAAACCTAACAAAAAAGGGTAAACCAAGCCAAATCAACCCACAACGGGAAAGGAATCGCTCAGCTTCATCACTGATTTCTTGAACATGCCCATTGAATCATTTCATCAGAAAAGCATCCTGGTTTCTGCAGAGCAGAGGCAGGAGGAGCAGCACGCTGGGAGCTGAGCTGTGAGCAGGTCTGGTAGGTATCATCCCTGTCCCAGTGGAAGTGTCCATGTGTTTCGGCACCTTATTTGGCTATTGCTGCTTGTACAGAGTGAGGACTTCTTGCAAACAGTGGGAAGAGCCCTGGGGATGCTTGGCTGCCTCTGACGCAAGAGCTTTGCCAGTGCATTTTTGACCTTGCTTTGCCTCTCAGCTGAGAACTAGAGATCACGCTGCCCACCTCTCTGCACACCCACCGCTGAGCAGTGGCACTGGGAGGAAAGGAACACCCCAAGGATGGTGGCACCTGGCCTTAGCCAGGACACAAAAGGCAAAGAGAGTGGCTTTCCCTGTCCTCAGGGAAACTCTGCAAATGGCTTTAAGAGCACAGAGGACCAGCACCCTCTACCTCATGGCATGCAATCAGCTGTACTAAAAGGTTACTAGCTCCAGCGGAGCTGTACTGAATTGCATCAGCTGGGAACCGCATCCAAAATGTTTGGGTTGAGAGTAACCCTTTCTATTTATTGCCCTATTGTTTTATACTGGAAGAACACTGAGATACAATCTGTGAAAGCTTTATTGTTACAGACCAGCTTTCCCCTGCTCTCCCAAGCTGTCACCCCCTAAATTATGCTTCAGCTTCCAAGTTTAGGGGGATGAAATGGGGATTATATTGACAGAGATTAAGGCACCACGAGGATTTGGTGGTGGAGGTCATCTGCTGCCCATCCTCCTATCATTCAGGGCAGTATTACCCAATTTCCCTCTGCACCATCAGCCACATGAGCCCAAAACCTCTGCACTGTTTATGAGTAAAACCTGGCTTACTCTGCCCAGGGCAAGCTCAGGAAACGCATACAGGAACATAGAGGACCAGTCCTTTGTAAGCATCTCCATTATAGCAGCAGAAGTAGAAAAGTAGCAAAACTTTACCATCTCCATTAAGAGCATTTTGCTGCCTCCACAATGGCAAAGCTCCCATTGCCATTCCCACACAGGACATGGGAACAGCTTTTGTGGGGAAAGTTCTGTGCTGGCAGAGCCATCCTCGAGGCTACCAGGGAGGGCACGGCTTTGTTGGGACATGGCTTCGCATCACCTGGCACAACATGGGATACATCCTGCCCGCTGCCTCCAACCACCATGCCGGACCCCAACACGCAGCTCCTTCCTCGTGGCGGTTTCTCAGGAAGCCCAGTAGCCTTGGCGGGATGTGTGTATCATTGGGTGGAGAGCTACAGGAAGCGGATAATACTATTTTTTTTCTCCATTTGTGCCGGTTCAGACTCATTTTACAGACAGTGCCCATTTCCTACATTGATACATGGTAAGGATGGAGAGACCCAGCACATCGCCCAGCCTCAGCACGGGCTCTGCACAAGCCACGGACTGCGATGCCAAGGTAAGCGGTTTGCCTAGCATGTCTTACTGCGCTTACAAATTAGGGGCTTTTAAATGGCCAGCGTCAAGAAGAACCCAAACGCACACCAAACTGAGCGCGGCAGGGGGCAGGGCTGCCAGCGAAAGGCGCTCGAAGCATCCATGCGTTTGGGACACCGAGTTCCCGCCGGCCCTAGAGGACGCTCTCGGGGCCGGCTCCCGCGCTCCCCTCCAGCATGCAGCCGGACCCCTACGGCCGCGCTGGGGCCCAGGGAACTCCGCGTCCAGCGGCTGCGCCCCGCAGCGACCTCCGCTGCCGCCGGGCCGGGCCGAGTCCACCCGAGCCGCCCCCCGGCGAGTCCCGGATGTTGGAGCAGCCCCACTTACTCCGTCCTTCGCTTCCATAAAAGGCCAAGGGGCCCGGCGGCGCGGGGCGCGTTTTTCCTTTAATTATTATCCCCCTCCTCCTCCTCCTCCTCTGCCTCCTCCTTCTCCTCCTCCTTCTCCCCGCCCGCCCCTTCTCCTCCCGCGGCGGCCCCGCAGGCAGCGGCTGGGGGCGGCGGGGTAGCGCTGCACCCCCCGATCCCGCCCCACCGCGCCCCTATCCCACCCCCCCCGGGGCACGGGCGGGCTGTGCCTTGCCGAGCCGAGCCGAGCCGTGCCGGCGGGCGGGCGGTGAGGCGCGGCTGACGGCGCAGGAGGCCGGGGCCATGGCGCTGGACGGGATCCGCATGCCGGACGGCTGCTACGCCGATGGGACGTGGGAGCTGAGCGTCCATGTCACCGACCTGGGCCGCGACGTCACCCTGAGGGTCACCGGCGAGATCCACATCGGCGGCGTCATGCTGCGCCTCGTCGAGAAGCTCGGTGAGTTCCCCGGTACCCCACATCCAGCCCAGCACTCTGCCCCGGCATCCTTCCAGCACCCAGCACCGTGCTTGAGCGCCCAGGACCCTGCCCAGCACCGTGCCTGAGCATCCAGGACCCTGCCCCAGTACTGTGCTTTTGCACTCAGTGGCCAGCATCGTGTCCCCTCTACTCTGCTTAAGCACCCAGCATCCTGTCCCAGTACTGTGCTTTAGTTCCCAGCACTCTGCTTAGCACCTTGAGTGGCCCAGCACCCATCTCAGCACCCTGCCCTAGCACCCCGTCCCCTGGCTGCCCACCGCGCCTGGGATACACAACAAAGCCCCCATTCCCCCGGTGGCAGGCGCCTTGTCCCCAGCCAGCGCCGTGGGTTGCCCCTCGAGCTGTCTGGGGCTGAAACCAGCCCAACATTTGCACCCCGGGGCCAGTTTGCCTGTGGCAGGGCCTCAGCCCCCATCGCCGCCTCCTTTGTACTCACTTTTACCCGGAGCTGGGGAACCTCTTCATTCATGGGATGGTGGGGGGGATTTTTATGGGTGCTCTCCAAGTTTATAGAACAGTTTAAGTCTGGAGTTGTATCTGGCTCTGCGCTGCTTTGGACGAGGGCCCTTTGCGAGCATGGGGTGTTTAACGGGGTGGCTTGGGCTACGCGGGAGCTTGGTCTTGGGACCGGGAACACCGCAGTGTCCGGTGGCTTTGGGTGCGTACCTGGACAAAGAGCCCGTTTGTCTGGGGCGCGTGGGAACGCGCGGCCGAAGCCGCAGGGACGGCTTTGTGGTGGGGGGGGCTCCGTGCCGAAAGCGAGCGCCCCGACCCGCCGGCCGCGGGGAGCTGTGCCCCGCCAAACCTCCCCTTGCCCTTGTATCGGCTCTCTGTGGCTCGGGTGTGTTTGCTCAGCGGAACGGCCTGGGCTGGCGGTTCTGATTGCTCAAAGAAAGTATTAATTGCGAGGTCCCCGCGCGTGCCTGCGGCTGTGGGAGTAGCGGAGCTGTCAGCTGCACACGCAGGTCCGCGTCCAGTGCAAAGCCTCAATAATACCGTTTTCCTCCATGCTTAGGTTTTGATTTATGAATTACCTGAAGTTGCAGGAAGGAAGGGATGGATATAAATACGCTTGTTTCTAAAGGAAGCAAGCGCTCGCATCAAAAGGTCTCATGCTGGAGATAGCTCTTGACTCTCCAAAAACTTGATTATTTTTATGCTGAAGCAGCAGAAAGATTTGCTGGATTTGAGCATTCAGTGGCTAGGATAAAGGAAAAGCTTTCTAGAAACGGTTAAACATCAACCCGTTGATCATGAATGAATGAATAAGCAATGCGCCCCTTGGTTTTGAGCTTCGCTGGGTGTCAGGACCAGCAGATGCCGAAGCAGAGCCGGGGCCGACTCATATGCTGTAAACTGCACGCATGCATGGGGATGAAGCCCAGCAAGGACTTAAATTAGTTCCTGACGTCATGCACCCCCCACTGCCCCCCCCACAAATGTGTTTGCCCGGATCCTCTCCACTTGTTAAATTAGGGATTGTATTAGAGGGAAGGAATGCAGTGGCCGCAGCCGCCGGCCCGGCAGGGGGAGTGGAGATGGTGCTCCCCGGGGGGCTCGGCCCCAATGACCCCCTTCCCAGGATGGGGGACCCAGATCCCAGGACCTGTGGATATCCCCAGCTGTTGCCTTCCCTTTCCTCCCGGCTTCTGTCGCTGAGCCAAGCTATACGTATTTAGTTCCTTTTAATCTTCCTGCATGTCAGCTCTTCCAGCCCTCTCATTACTTTTATGGCTCTTCTTTGAGCTCCTGCCAGTTTATCAGGGTCGGGTTTAGCAGAGAGGGGTGGGACAGGACTCCTGTCTCACCCTCATGTGCCTCCTGAATGCCCTCCTTCATGTAGCCTCTGCCACTGCTTCATCTCCAAATACCTTAATTTTGCAATTTTTCCATGTTGGAACCCTTTCCCTGTATTTTTATCGTTCCTCTGTCCCTCACAGTGTTGGTTTCCCTTTTTTAACAACTCCAAGTGTTAAAATGATTATTCGTCTTTAGCAAAGCAGATTTTTGCTGTGAGTTTTAAGGAAATGACTTAAAAACAAAGTTTCTTTGCAGCTCTGGGATCCCCTATGGACCACTCTGCTTGCACATTGCAGGTCTGTACCTTGGTCAGGGGTTTGCTGGCTCCATCCTTTTGGACAAACCTCCTCTGGGCTTTGTGCTGCTGGAGGCAGGGAAAGGAGATTTCTGTGGCCTGCTCAGTGTTTCAGTGAAGTTTAGGGCATCACTGTGATTTGCAGACATTGGTCCCACTTTGGCTGTAGGATGCTGGGTAGAAGTTCTTCCACCATTAGTGAGCAGGGGAGAAAAAATGGCCTGCCTCATCCCAGCAGCAAGGAGAGTCTGGAAGAGGGAAAATCTAGATTTATGTTAGTATTTTCTGATGCTTGTAGGGGAAAACAATTGCAGTAAATAGCTCTTTGCCCTGGTGAGGGCTGGGGTGCCATTCTCAGAGCAGGAACACAGGAAAGTCTCTCCTCCATATCTGCAAGGCTGCAGGTATCAGTAAATCTTGTCAGCTCAGTCCTTGCCTGCTTAGAGCGGCTGCAGTGAGACTATTTGGGAATAGGCAATTAAAATCTGCCACTAATACAGGCAAGGATTGGAAAAAACCCAAGCAGCAGATAGGGATTCTGGTTACTCAAGTGAATTGCAATGACCTGTTGGCTCCCCTGTTATTTATCACCCCGCTGGATTAAGCCACTTTGTTAATTGAGCTGTGCCTTGTGCTTGGCAGAGTCCTCTGAAGAATGGGCAAAAAACTGCTGAGGTTTTAAGAACAGTAGTATTTAGTTGGTCCATGTGGGTTGGGAGTACTGGAAACTCCTGGTACTCACCCAGGGGTTTTTAGGAATTTTGCCACTATTGACTTACAAACAAAACAAACAAAAAAAGAGGCTTAAAATCACTGGGAGCAGAGGAAGGAAGGAAGTGAACGCAGGTTATTGTTGTTGTCAACTTCAGGCTGTTTTAAACACATGCAAGGAAAACATGCTGCTTTTTTGAAATGCACTTGGGAGGAGCTTTGTGGGACATACGTTAAATGCAGGATTGCATTTAGGGGATGCTCTGTATGGTAGTGGGAATAAAAGAATAGCTGACAGAAGCAGGCAAGGGGGGGGGACAAATGGTGGCTGGCAGAGGACTGGTTTAAGACAGATGACCTAAATGTGCACTGAGCAGATTCAGAAAGTCTGTGGATAAAAGTTTTGTAGTGGAAGTACAGATTTCTCTGTAGGTTTCTTTTACAGGCAGGATATGCATGGCAGCCAGCTCCAGCTGTGGGGGCCCATGGGGAGGACTGAGCACCCTGAGGGGTTTGTACGTGAAGACAATAGATAAGTTGATGAAAAAGAAAAAAAGAGCTAGTTTGAGAATTGCAGCAGTCCTGGACCAAAAGGCATTAATGCTTGATGGGTCCTCTGGCCAAGGTGGGAGGATGGCTCAAGGTGCTGCCCTGCAGTGTGGTGGCATCCCTATTTTATCAAGCCAGGATGGGCACATCAGCTGCACTGGGGATAAATGTCAAAGCAAGCCTTCTGCCCTTGATAGAGAGCGGCTGATAATGGCAGGCAGTGATGACATCTTCTAAAGCCTTGGGGTTTTTGTGAATCACATCTTTGATAAGGATTTGGGCAGCTGGTTTAAACTCCATTGTTCCGTTTTGGCAGCTCCTCTGCTATCTCCTTCCCATCACTTTGGAGAGAGCAGGATGTCACTTAAGGACTGGCACAGGAGTTGTCACATGCGGAGTGTTTTGGTTTAGGTGCTTTAGCACATGGTAGCACACCAAGCTTGCTCTTTCCCTCTTTTGCAGATTTTAGCCTGCATATGGGATGTGGCTGGGATTTACCCAAGGGGCTCTCTTCAACCATCAAATGGATTCTGCCCATGTTATCCTGCCAATGACTTCATCTGTACTCTTTGAAAGATCAATTGAAAATACCAGTGTTCTCCCAGTAAAGTCTCTTTGTCTTAATGGACCCCTCAAAGGGTTATGAATAAAACACCAAGAAAGTGCAGTGTCATTGATTTCCTCAGGTTTGGGTTTGAGGTTTTGCAGTGCATATAAGTGTTCCAAGCTGTTGTGAGACTTGCTGGGGAAATTTTTTACTTGAAACTGGGATGAACCCTTTGAAACAGCTTAAGGCTGTTTAAGAGAAATGCAGCATCCTTGCTTCAGCCCATTCCTATTGCAAACACAAAGCAGGATGCAGTGCTGTTTTGCAGGTGACTTGCACCTTTTCCCATGGACTTTTCCAAATGGTAAGTGTTCACTAGGTGACTACATGTGTTTTGCTGTTGGGGAAGTCAAGAGAAATGGTTGGAGGCTAAAGAGAAAGAAAGAGGGTTTATTGTAGCCACACTTTCCAGTAATACTTACTTCGAGCATCAGTGCTTGCTGCCTGGAGTATGGTTGAGGCATTTCTCCAGTCCATGCTTCCAGGATGACAGCTGAGCATTTCCATTTGTGCGCTCTGCAGGTACTTGTCTGGCCATCAGATGTCGGTTGAGATGAGAAATTCCTCTCATTTTGAAATTCCTTATTCACTTGGTGGATAAGGAATTT